GCGCCGGAGCCTGACAGGCCTGTGTGCGCGTTGGTCCCCTGCCTGCTGACACGCACAGTGATTCATTCTCCATGTAGCGTTTCTGTGCTTCTCCAGTGGGAGAAAGTGCCGCTGGGACTTCCAGGGCCGTTTTATCTCCGTGCTGCAGCCAAGCAATTCGGGAGAACAGAGCCAGGCCGCCAGGCCGAGGGAGCTGAGTTGCGAGGGCCTGTGATGGTCCCGGCTGATCCCTCCCTTCACAGGGGAGGCGGGGGGAGGGGGGCGGCTGGTGCAGGAGCCCCTCCTCCCACACAGACCTCTGCAGGGCGGGGATTTCCAGCTCGGCTTCCTTCGGCTGTGTGCCCTGGGCAGGCCTGTCTTCTCCCTGGGCCTCGGTTTTCTCACCTGGGAAGTGGGGTGAATGGCCGCGCCCACCTCAGAGATTCAAGAAAATAATGGACGTAGAGGACTTGTTGAAGCAGAGCTGGCTCAGGGCGAGGGCTCAAGGAAGGGAGCCATGGAAACCAGCCGAGGTTAGAACTTGAACCCAGATCCCAGCCTGTGGGCAGGGGGCAGTGGGGGTGTCGCTGAGGGACGGAGACCCCGTCAGGGAGAAAGTTGGTGGTAACCTGCAGGCTGCCCCAATTCTAACACCCATGCTGATGCCCCCCCGCTGCCGGGGTCAGGGTGGGACCCAGGACCCTGAGCCTCCCACCAGAGCCCGGGAGGTGGGGTTCGCTGGCTAAAGGGAGCGCTTCCGCCACGAGGCTGGTGCCCAAGGTCACTCGCGGCCGCGGCAGGAAAATCAGGGGTTTCCCCGAGGCCTGGGTCTGAAAACGTGCTCTTTGCAACAAAGTGAGCCTGGCACCCAGGCCAGGGAGTGTGGGTGGAGTGCCTGCTCTTTGGGCAGCAAACATTTATTCAGCACCTACTGTGTGCAGAGCCTGGACAGGGGGACACGGCGGCACAGAGGCAGCCCCCGGAGGAGCGTGTCCCGGGCAGGGGGCAGTTAGCAGGCGGAGCAGAGGCTCAAACCCCTGCAGGCCTGGTGCTCAAGGGGCGCGGGGGTCTCTCAGGTCCCTACACCGTCGGCAGCGGGGCTGCAGAGGAGAGCCGTTCCGGAGCACCGGCTGGCTGCGTCCCGAGCCCTGCTAGCACTTCCGGTGCTTTCCGTCTCCCTTCAGCACCCCTGCCAGGTGGGGCCTGGTGCCCATTTTGCAGGCGGGGACACTGAGGCCAGTGAAGTAACTTGCCCAGCCGGGACCCTGGCGGGAGTCTGGTCTTCACCCTGATGCCTTGTGGGAGGCCCTCGGGGGGGTTCTAACAGGGGCTGACATGTGAGCTTGTATTTTGAAAGCCTCCCCTTCAGGTGGGGGTGGGTCGAGGGGCAGGAGCAGTTCAGGGAAACCCCGAGGAGCTCGAGGACGCGGGGAGGGCCAGGCGCGGCTGGCAGGGCTGCATGGAGAGAGGGAGGCCGTGGAGCTGGGAGCAGCGTGCACCTCAGGCCTGCCCGATGCTCACTGAGAGGATGTGGGGAAGGGGCCGCCACAGGGCTGGCGCCAGGGCCTGGGGT